GCGGTTTCACTATTTCAGAGAAGTTCAATTACATCCCATAGGGTTTCCCATATAAATAGACATATACAAACCCTCAGATAAAATTACAATCACGCCCTCGCTCCTCCCAACCCCCTTTATTCCAAGAGACACTCCTTTTCACCAGGAGACACGCCTCTTCAAAAGAAACTCCAACTCCCCAGATATGAGCCATATCTAACACTTGACAAAGTGTGAGATACATGGTTCAGAGAGATAGAGGTAAACTCTAAACATAAATTCTAAGTTATATAAATGTATCCATCTAACATATTGATATTCATGACATAAAACCAGTTCACTTAGCAACCCAAGCATCGTGCACATATTAGGAGAAGCTTTGATTCTGGAGGGGGAGCTCATCTGTCTGATATGTTGGATGAGATATGTAAGAAGAGCTAATGCCCTCGGTCACTCAGGGAAGATGTGCACACTCATTTGTACAGAGCTTGGGACTCGCATTTTGTACTCTTTTATCTTCTCTCATTTCATTGATAGGTTTACCTTTTATAACTTCAGTAAATTTTGATATTTGAGTTATCGAGATATAAAAAAAATAAATAAATAAAGAGGTGCCCATCATAAATGTAATTTTTCTTCTTTTCAATTATGCTTATGCACAATATTCGTACAAGTTTGACATGTAAATGCTAATCTCTACAATTATTGCACATGTAACAAGGACATAGCATATTTCCGCAAAAATCCTGGTATGAAAACAATAGCATCGATGCCTGTGCAATAAATCTTGTGCTGATATATCCTATTATAAAATAATTTTAATATTGTATTATTCATTGGAAATTTCTCTTTATTATGCTTTTTTTTCCAATTAGGGTGTAAACTAGCCGAATACGGGCTGGCCCAGACTCAGTTCATTAAAAAATACTACTATTCGTGTTCAGCTCATTTATATTTGGAATACAAAAAGTTTGTTCGTGTTCGGCTCATTTGCTTAGCGAGCCGAACACGAGCTCTTCCCAAACAATTAGTCGTTCTAGCAACCCTAATCACACAATCGTAGAATTTTAAGGGTTGAAGCAAGATTTAAATCTTAGTATTTATATTAAAATACCATTTAAATATAATTTAATATATTTTATTCTATTTTTTTATTTAATAATTTTAATCGATTATAAATTTTGTAGACTTGTAGTCAATTAAATTTTTTGAAAATACTACTCATCAAAGATATATATATATATATATATATATAATTAATTAGTAGTATTCCGAGTCAAAACGAGCCGGAACACGAACAAGCTAATCTTTGATCTTTGTTCGTGTTCAGCTCATTTATATATCAACTACAAAAAAAAGTGTTGATGTTTAGCTCGTTAACATAGCGAACGAATCGAACACGAGCGGTCCGCAAACAACGAGCATTTTGACAGCCTTATTTCCAATATTAAAAAAAAATTATGCTAAAATTCTAGAAGAAAATTCGTATCTAGATGACTATATGCTAAAATAATTATGACTTTTGTCCAATATGAAAAAAAAAAAAAAAACTCATGCTAAAATTCTCGATGAATTGCGTTGCTAGAAGGCAGAAGATGACATCATAAATATACAGTAAAATAGTTTTACTTTATTTTAAAAATGCTATTTCAGAATATTAAATAAATATATAATATTCCCTTTAACATGTCAATCTATTTTCAATATTCTATCTTCCAATATTTGATAAAAAAATATGCGAGCACCCGAAGACAGAGACGAGCAACTATACACCCCATAAAAAGAACATCGACACTTTATTCGCGTTCCTGCGCAGCATCTTCCCACAATGTTGTGGACATTATTATTACAGTGTACCTCTTACCATAGCAAAGCAGAGCATATTGCGTCAGGATATCATACAATAAAATCACAAATACCTGTGACAATGAGCTAACAGTAGCCAAAAAGTACAATTTACGAGAAATGCCAACATTCGTAAGCAACAAAACAACAAATGATCAAGTAAAACTTTCAGAAAGGCTTCCAAACTCATCAAAACCAAAGCCATTTTGCTATCCGCTGAAACCTCGAACTTCCCACATCAGATCTGTCTTTAATTCATAATTATTCAAACTCATCAGATAGCTATCATTATAATCCACCACTCCTCTTCTTTCCTGCACCTCCAAAAGTTCATCTTTCAGAAACCTGTTCTCCTCCTCCATCAATCTCCTCTCAACATAATTGCTGCTGAGTACTGCTTCTTCTCCAATTCCAATCTCTGCACTGCTCTGCCTCTCCAAACTCTCTTCCAAGAACGGCATCGTCATCATCGGCATGAGATCAGCTTCACCCTGTTCGAACTGATCAGGGGTATGGTTTAAGAATTTGGTGTAGAATTGAGCTAGGCTGAGAGACCGGAGATCCGGCGAAGGAAAGCTTCCGCCTTTACCGCCGGACATGGTTTCAAGGGCCTCGTCGGGCCGGAGGGAAGTTGGCGGCGAAGAAGGAGAAGTGGGAACGGTGGAGGTGCGCTTAACAGAGTCCCGACGGCGGCTCTTTCGGCAGCCACCGCCGACGGGGATGTTGCGGAGAGAGCCGCCTTTGGTCCAGTAGCGGCGGCAGGCTTTGCATAAGTAGCGCGGCTGAGTGAGGCAGTAGTTGTTGTAGTAACAAAACTTGGTGTTTGGTGAGTCGCAGCGGGGGCAATTGGGGGTAGGTTCTTGGACTATGGGCCGCCATTGGAGGTCTGTATTGGGAAGGGGGTGGAAGGAGTAGTGTGGGAGCATTGTTAGGAGGAAGGTGGAGGAAGGAGGGGGTTTATTATGGGGAGGGGAAGCCAGTTATTGTGGCCTTGCATGCATGTGCCAGTCGGACAAATATATTGTTAGGGATTGTTAGGGAATAGGGGAGTTGTTATTTCACCTCAAGCTGGCTGGTTAATTGTCATAATGTGTGTTTCATTGTGTGATGTGATTCAAGTTGGCATTCGAATGTCTGTCCTCCGGACGTAATATTTTCTAAAAAAAAAATAGAATAAATCATGAAATAGATTTTAGATGTGTAGACTAGATCCAATTTAATCTGGGAAGTATATGTTAAGAAATTGTTTAAGTAAACAATGTGTAATTTAATTCTAAGTATTTTATGAGAGAAGTTTTTAAATTTGACAATGTGTTAAAAGCAATTTTTTATCTAATTTGTTGCATGTAAATATTACAAGAAAAATATTTTACTATTGGTGGATAAATTAATCGTATGGTCTATTATTAGTTTTGTTACTAACTTTATATTTTCTAAAGATATGAATCTCTACAGATTATTTAGATTTTTAAATATAAATTTAACTAATAACCTCTTTTGTCAAAGTAGAATACTTCTTTTCTTTTTAGCTTTTATCATGTATACCCAAAAACGGACTGTACGGAGACTAAGCTCTTTCCTTCGGCCAGTCGGAATCAGACAAGAGGCTTCTCCCTCTCCCCCAGTCGAGGCAATCTAGTAGCCGACTGACTCACTTCATTCGACCCACCAAGCTCTCTTCGTTGTTCTCCTCTCCTCAGTCGACTGACCATGCTCTTTCCTTCGGCCAGTTAGAATCAGACAACCCGAAGGATTACGACTGATGACTTTTTAACAAAACACATCAATACAAAAATTAAAATATTCAGTACCACACTTTAAATGCAAGGATAACTTTGTAATTTATCTTTTGATTCTCCTATCATCTATAAAGAGGAGAGCTTTTTCATGTAAAATGGACTTTTAGGGGCTCCTCAACTCGTAACATCATGCTTTATGGAATAAAAGAGACCAACGAGCTCGAGGAACACCCCGACTCGGCCTCAAATGGCAAGTCTCTCTCTCTCCCTCTCTAATTCTCATTCACTTGGTCTAACACACTATTCCTTGAGTAATGTCTATCCGACAGATATGGATACAACATAACTTGTTCAATTTTTTTTCACATTCAGAAAAGAAATCCCAAGTAAATATTTATTTCAAATGTAATATTTATAATATAATTAGTTTTAAAATTGTGAAACACATTTTTTTAAATTTTATAAAATATTAAATTCATCATCATGTCATGAAAATTTCAAACTAATTTCGGGTTGTCTTATTCTACTTTGGTCACATCAATTCAGTCAACTGACTAAGCTCTTTCATTCGGCCAGTCGGAATCAGACAAGAGACTTCTCCCTCTCCCCCAGTCGAGGCAATCTAGTAGCCGACTGACTCACTTCATTCGACCTACCAAGCTCTCTTCGTTGTTCTCCTCTTCTCAGTCGTCCGACCATGCTCTTTCCTTCGGCCAGTCAGAATAAGACAACCCGAAGGATTACGATTGATAACTTTTTAACAGAACACATCAATACAAAAATTAAAATATTCAGTACCACACTTTAAATGCAAGGATAACATTGTAATTTATCTTTTGATTATCCTATCATCGATAAAGAGGAGAGCTTTTTCATGTAAAATGGACTTTTAGGGGCTCCTCAACGCGTAACATCATGCTTTATGGAATAAAAGAGACCAACGAGCTTGAGGCACACCCCGACTCGACCCCGAATGGCAAGTCTCTCTCTCTCTCTCTCTAATTCTCATTCACTTGGTCTAACACACTATTCCTTGAGTAAAGTCTATCAGACAGATATGGATTCAACATAACCTGTTCAATTTTTTTCCTCATTCAGAAAAGAAATCCCAAGTAAATATTTATTTCAAATGTAATATTTATAATAAAATTAGTTTTTAAATTGTAAAACACATTTTCTTAAATTTTATAAAATATTAAATTCATCATCATGTCATGAAAATTTCAAATTTATCGATCAAAATATGGAGGTTGTATTGTAAAATTACTAGAAATGGATTACAATTTTAATATATATATATATATATATATATAATGATATTTAGATATTATACAGCAAACCGGCAACAAACATAAATACGCACGTGAAACTCAACAGGGTGAGAATTTTTATGCGCCTAACGCTTTTATTTATTTATTTATTTATTAATTATTATTACTATTATTACTATTATTCGGAACATGTGAGTCTCGGATGCACTCGTGTACGGCTTCGAACCAGTGAATGGGATTGGAATAGAATCCTAGTCTACATTACTTTGTAAAGATTATAATAATTAGTTGATTGATCATATATATAGGGGAATTTACATACCTACCACCAAATTCTTATGTATTTACATATCTACCATTTAAATTTTACTGTTTACATTTATTTTACCCACAAGTTTTTTTTTTTCACATCTAAAATATCAACATTTTAATTTCTTTTTATTTAAATACATTTTTTTCTTGCATAAGAACATGTTGTATGTAAGTAAATACTAAAGTTCTTGTTAGATATGTAAATACATAGTATTTTAAAGGAATGTATGTAAATATTTCTTATATAAATTTTATGAATTGGAGGCAAACCTTAATATTTATTTCATGTTTTATTTTATTAACCTAACTATTATTTTTTATATGATTAAATAAATGGGAAGATATCAAACCAAAATTTAAATGTGATGAGCTAAAGTAGTTAAAGATTTACTTTTGAGTTAAATGTGATAGAGGACTGACTAGTTATTATGATATTACCTATATTTGAAAATAAATTTAAGAGATTATAAATTTATCCCAAAATTTGATAGAACTTTCCAACTAGTTTTTGATTTGCATGATTTCCCTTATAGAGATGAAGCAAATGTGCTTTGTGATTGTCCATGAAAGTGATAAAAATATTTGAGGAATTCATGATGAGAGGATCATGCGCTAATCTTGAAAGCAATTGATGATGTATTGCTACAAGTCTAGCCTTTTACAGTTCAATTTGCAACTAAATATCACAACTAGTCCCAAAAGTTTAATAAAGTATCCAACCCAATATATGTGCTTCTCACATCTCACTTCCTTCATCCCCTTTAGGCATTTTTATCTCTTAAATATCATACCTCCTCTCATCCATGCCAACGTGCATTCCTCGCTTGATTCACAACCTCAATTGGCTCCTCCGTTATCCTTCCTTGCTTTCTCTTGTCATCGCATAGCCTAATCTTATGGCTTCCATCCACCACCTCTACTCCACTCATATCTCTTCACATCCTCAATCTCTTCATATATATTTTCCTTTGATGGATGCAGTCATTTAATGTATGCATGATGACTATGAGACATCAAAAGGAGGGTATATTAGGGTTAAAAAAAATGCTAAATTAAAATATTTAATATTATTGTAATATTAATTTATAAGGATGTTAATCAACACAACGTTTAAAAACATGCTTGTAAAGTAATTAGCAAGATACCTCAAGTAGAAGTAAAAGAGATTGCAAGTTTAATATTTTTATGTGGTTTGACCAACCAAGCTTACATCCATACTAAACAACCCTCGAACTAGAAATCCGTAAAATCTAAAATTTTGCTAACAAACCTCACTTTTTCAAAATCAAAGAAGTTCCTTACAACCTAGGTACTCACACAAGTCAGTGCAACCCAATCTAAGCAACATAATATTCACTAAGCTAAAAAGCATAAAAATAGTTAAGAAATATACAAAATTTAATAATTTATACAAGGTTAAATAAACTTACAACATAATGTCCTAACAATATTTTTAATTGAATTTACAAAGAATTGCTAATCACTTCTTAACATACAAATCAAATATAAATTTTACTCACTATAAAAATAAATTTATATACTATTTCATATAAATAGTACTCTTATGATTTTAAGTTTTGGAATTTTTTACTATTGATTTTAAATATATATTTTTAATATTATTAGGTTTATAAAGTAGATTGATATTAAAACACAATAACTTAATAATTATATGGATGAAAAAAATTAATCATACAAAACTTAATCTTTAATGCTTAATAAGTATTTCAACTAAAATAGAAATTTCTAGAAAAAAACTCAAAAGATGTAAAATATAAAATCAGAAAATAAAAATTTAAAGAAAAGTAAAAAAGCTTAGAGAGATCAGAAGAGTTTGCTTGATTGACTGCATAAGGTCGAATCAAGCATAACTGTTCAATTTAAATGCAAATATACAATTTTATCTTTTTGATACCTAAATATATAAGAATTAGGGGGTATGTATTCATACATACACGCCACTCTAATTTATGCATTCGGTATGTATGAAATTTTACATATTTCTGGCTTCATATTCTATTTGGACACGACTCCTCTCGATGTTTTGGTGTGCTAAACATCACACAATACATTGAGCCTAGAAAGATACAAAAGCAATTTAGAGTACTGTAATTGCACTTAATTTTGTAATAATTTCTTCATGAAGGACTCATTCATTAAGGCAGGTCATTCCCAAGTGGACCAATGGTGAGTCGATCCCAGTCCCAGATCCCAATGAATCTATATACGTGGAATAGTAATTTTAATATTCTCACAATTACTTATTAGTTTTATTTGTTGCCGATTATCGTTTATAGATTTTCTTTTGAGAAAAGTACTTGTTGCTGAAGAATGTTGAGAGGGAAAAATCTACAAACTAGGCCGCGGGGCATATACTGTATAACGAAAAATTATTGTATCAAGATACCTGACGTAAATTTGCATCAGATGTCTAATGACAGAGTGCCACGTGGTGAAAGCTCCACGTCAATTAATGATCGACTTAGCAGACTACAAACTAGGCCGCGGGGCATACACTGTACAACGAAAAATTATTGTATCAGAACATCTGATGTAAATTTGTATCAGATGTCTAATGATAGGGTGTCACGTGGTGAAAGCTCCACGTCAATTAATGATCGACTTAGCAGATACATCATGACATTCAATTAAGACATCAAGGCGCAAGAGTTAGCTCTGTTTACATAAGT